GATACTTATATTCTTTTTTGTTCTTGTCTCCAATATATGATATTTTTCACACTGTTTTTTTTGACACTACACTCCAAATGCAGCTTATTAATTTTTTTTTAAACTTGTTTAATTACATAGCTAATATTTATAGTGACAAGGTGGCGTCCTCTCTCTCACAGAGCTCACAGCTCTCACAGAATATCAGCGTGAAATAGCAGCTTAGTGCTGTTTTTCTTATTGTGAGTGCAGAGATCCGAAGACCCTTTTTACTGGAAACTAGGCGTTCCATCTAAAACGTGAAACTTGTAAAACTGCTTACTGGAAACGAGGCATTCCATCTTTAGTCGTCAGGGGTGATAACGCATCCGCATTTGACCCGTGAGAGAATTATCCTTCATATCCACATTCCTGCTACAACCATAATTTAGCTGCAGCGTGGCTCTACCATGTGCTAAATTGCAAAAATAATAGTCGTAAAAATAAATTGCATTTTTCTTTGATTCCCTTTTTTATAATAATTTTCATGGACCTAGAAAAAATTATCATAGACCTTTTTTCTAGGTCCATGATCATTTTAAGCTTTTTAAAAAAATAACCAGCAGTCAGCACGAACGTAAACTTACGTCTGCGACAGCCTGTTCAAAAGATTTACAGAGGTTATACAGTATTTCATTAGTTAGTTAAAATTTGTATTTCGAAAATATAATGTGTATACGACACTGAAGCAAAAATAAATGTAGGGTCATTGCGCCGGTAAGCCGACCGGGTCTAGTTTTCGGCCTTTGGCACGAGGTGATGAAGTAAAGGGCAATGGCAGAAAAATAGTTGACAAAAATTATTGCGTCTAGAAATAAGTTATATATAAAATGAGTTTTATTATATTTCTATGATTTTTCAAATAAAAATGTATTTTAATTAAAGCCACAGAAAAAAAACAAACATTTTTGGGAATATCAAATGACTTAAATCATTTTTTTTTGGAGTTTATGGCCTGGTATCTAGACCTTTAGGCCAAGTCTTAAGTATTTTTATTCGGTTTATTGTAATTTCCCCACTCCTTCATAGTATACTGCTTCACAATATGTTGATGCGTCACATTGTGCAGTTCTTGGGAGATTTTGGCGGCAACTTGATCCAGCAGACAGCTGATAGTTGGCGATGGTATCTAAAGGTGCCTAAGCAAACAAACAGCTTATCTTGAGAATCCATCACCATTAGAACACTTGTTTCACTGTTTCCACTAATAGTTCACATGCGTAGACACTTAATACACAAAATCGCAACACTTTTATATATCAAAGTCCACTTCAAACCATTATTTAAACAATAATACAGGAGCAGCAAACCGCCGCCGGTCAATTTCCCGCCAAAACTCCACTTAAATCATTTTACTCTATTCAAGTGTTGCCATTTACTATATTCATACTATTTTCGTATACACTTTGTAACACCACCAACACAACACACAAACACAAAATATTTTTATTTTAAGTTATTATTAGTAATAACTATACTATCAGTAATAATAAAAATAAAAGTGATATAGTTCAAAATAAGTCTCTTACAAAGAACTTCCTACAATAATATATTATGTCAATCATAGCAATATGTAACAATTCCATTTAATGTTATGGGAACACTAGCTAAAACAAAATGTCACTGTTTTTTTTACTGGCTTTACAGCTCTGGGTTCTAGCCCTTCTGAGATTGTCACTGTATGACACAAAGGCCCTGGAGCCATGCCAGAAATATATATTTATGCAAATATATAATAGATTTACTATAATTTAAAAACTCTCAATTATGTAGGTAGGTACATTATGTTGAGAATGTATTAAGTTAACATCAAACAACCACAGGACGCATGACTTTTTCCAAGTGACATAAGACATAACCATAAAAGGTTCAAATCTAAATATCTTTTTTTTGACGCCTTCTCAGGACAAAATTCTTTGACAGAGTTATTAAGGGACTGACGCTTAACATTTTAAGATATTTTTGATATATAGACGCTACCATTCCTTCTCAACTAATTTTATGTATGAAAGTCTGCCATTGTTCTTTGATTTAATAACGATTTTAATAAATATTATAGTCCAAAATCAACTTTAATGCATTTGTAAATAGTTGCATTATATATTGCAACATTATTTCATCGGATAAACACGCGCACGTTTCACTCAAAAGTAAATTTTGCGCTGTATTTACAATGATTATTTAATATTGTGCTTATATTTCACTGTATAAATAACTTAATTTTAAATTTCACATAGATTACTATAATATTTTATTGTAAAATTTAGTAAATGAGGTGACCGGAAAGTGACACACAAAATTTTCCTATTATTTGGTTATCAGCCATGTGGCCGGAAAGTAGACCGTGTTTAGCCTAAATACTTTGTCTCTTTCATTTATTTGGTTACCTACTACCTACTATTAGTCTTCTTACTTTTTTATAATGAATTGTATCCTTGCGAAGACACTAGCTTTCAGTTTTCGGCCACCAAATATTGCAATTTGAATGATTATTGATGAAACTAAAATACCCATTTTAGTTGTGGCCGAAAACTAGATTAAGTCTAAAATTATTATTTAGTTTTCGGCCAACTTAAAATTATATGAAAGAATAGGGAAGCCGAAAATTGAATACTGCTTTGGTTGACGGACATTTCATGAAATATTTCATTCACGTTGCGTTTTAGGAAGAAAATTCGATAAGACATTATTTTCTTCAGATGGCTCCTCCAAAGAAAAATCCTCCAAAGAAACGTAATTAGTAAATGGTTTCAGAAAATGTGGACTTAATGAATTTGATCACCATGTAGTGGATTACTCAAAATGTGTCCGGAATACTCCGGAAAGACTAATTAGTGAAAATTCAGACACTAGAAAAAATAAAGAAATAACTAACGCAGACCTAGTTTCCACAAGAAAAGTTTTGAAGCATTTAAAATCAAATCTGGCAGAAAAAAACATGGTTGGCGATGTCCTAGTAACTATGAATTCATCTACCGATGTATTAGAATCGTTTATCGATAACAACATTTCATCATTCCATTTGTCAGGAAGTTATTTGGATATCGGTTCCTTAGTATCGTTAGATGATGTTCTTGTAATCCCAACTCAAGTAAGCCTACCAATGACAACAGTACTGACAATGCCGGAAATGGTAATAGATTTCAGTAATGCAATAATAACGACTCAAAGTAGTACAATGGCCACGATGATACCACCACCACTAACACCGATGATAACAAACAACCCCTTTGAAACTTTAGAAAATGTGCTAGTTGATATTACAATAAAACAGACTAGTACACTTCTAGAAACTAAGAAACATCGGCTTGAGTACTATTAAATAAAGAATATAGAGATGCGATAGATAAAACATTTATTTAAACTGGAACTCGTAAAAAATCAACCATTAACAGTACACGTACACCTTCTTCTGTAGCAATTTGATATGCAGAGTGGCGACAACTTTAAAAAGATAAAGAGAAAGTTAAAATAGAGAAGTTAGAACTAAGTTAAAAAAAGATAAGATATTTTGAAAAAGAAAAGAATATAAAAAGAAAAGTTAAAAAATGCTAAAGTACAAAAACGAAAAATTGCAAAATCCAAGAATTCCATGAAGGAAAATGAAAGAGTAAAAGTAAATTTTACCTGGTGTCATGACATTTTAATAAGTGAAACAGATTTGAGATGTAAAGATTTTGTTGGAATAAAATATGAGGCAGCGTTCGGGAAATTACAGCACATCTTCTCGTCAGGTATACCTACCTCAAAACGAGACTGTACAACCAGTGCGTGTTGGCAGTGATGACCTATGGAACTGATACGTGGTCCTTCACTGCTGACCGGATGAGGAAGCTCAAGGTTGGCCAGCGAGCTATGGAGAGGGCTATGGTCGGAGTTTCTCTGCGTGATAAATTTAGAAATGAGGATATCCGTAGTAGATCCAGAGTGACTGATATAGCCCAACGGGTTAGTAAGCTGAAGTGGCAATGGGCCGGCTATATAGCTCGAAGAACCGACAACCAATGTGGAAAAAGGTTCTCGAATGGCGGCCTCGTAACGGCAGACGAAGTGTAGGGCGTCCCCCCACTAGATGGAGTGACGACCTTGTAAGACATGCAGAAAGTCGATGGATGCAGGTGGCTCAGGATCGTGTTTTGTGGCATTCCTTGGGGGAGGCCTACGTTCAGCAGTGGACTTATGAAGGGATGTAATGAAAGGCTCATGATGATGAAAATATGAGGAAGTACAAAAAAAATGAGAATATTTGATTGCCATATTTAACGACACAAAATTTTATTATAATCTTACAAAAATTATATTAAGTTAAGGTTAACTTTTATATTGTGTCTAATGCAGTGGCCGAAAACTGAAATTCTAGTGGGCCGAAATATAAAATTTGGGGCCGAAAACTAGCATTTTACATATATTTCACATCAAAAATTATTATAAAAATGAGATTTTTCTTGTAGCATCAATGAGTTACAAAAATAAAAACTACATTATGTAAGCTACAAATTAACATTAACAGCACTAGGCCAGCATAATGGCAATTATTTTTTCTAGGTACCTTAAAGTTAACAACTCCACTAAAAGGCCGAAAAACAGCGCAACGACCCTACCTATATAGGTATAGACGTAACAAAACTATCTGAAATATGGTTGAAATTCCCGGATTACTGAATTGAGAAGGGATTAATTTACAAACCATATGTACCTACCTACCTATTTTTGACTAACCTAGCTTCATAGCTTGCTGCATTTATGTTGCGGCTGATAAATATAAGAATATTAAATATTTAAGTAAGAACTTACACAATAATAACGTTTGATAACTGTTGTTGACTTGTTAATGACTTGCAACTTGTTTACAGTCACACCACATCCAAAGAGTATATTATCTATAGTCATTACTCATTAGTTACTCGAGCGTTGTTGTCCGAAACGCACGTTAGCGACCGCGTCCTAATTTGTAAACGTATAGTGATAACCTATAATAAATCATGGTAGCGCTCAACGATCCTGCCGTGCAATCCTACATTTTATATTCCGGCATTCTAGCCTTGAAAGTTCTGATTATGGCATTACTAACGGCAAGAGTTCGATTTGCTAAGAAAATATTCGCCAACGAAGAGGACGCAAAGACGTCCAAAGGTCGAGTGAAGTTGGACGATCCGGACGTTGAGAGGGTAAGACGTGCGCATCTTAACGACCTTGAGAACATTCCTGCGTTTTGGATACTGGGGGCATTGTACCTAACGACAGCACCAGCGGCAGCGTGGGCTACTTTCCTGTTCCGTGTATACACGGCAAGCCGAATTATTCACACAATAGTGTATGCCGTTAAACCAATGCCGCAGCCGTCGCGGGCTATCGCGTATTTCATTCCCTACCTCATCATGTGGTACATGGGTATTAAGGTGATTTCACATTACTACGGAGCTATGTAATTATAAGTTATTGTGACTAAAACACGTAAGTTAAAAATGGTCGTTATGTTAAAAATAAATAAGTTGTAATAAGTTTCTTAATAAATTATATTTTGGTATTGATCTCTATTTTTTATTATTTTATTTATTCCCTTCGTAAATTACTGTCTCTAACTCGATTAGATCAGAGGTAGAGTATCAAATACACAGTCATAATAATACAATCGAACAGAATAACAATTTGTTATTTACGTAGGTACACAAACACTAAATTCAACAGAGATTCGAACCAAGAACTCTTACTCAGTAAAGCATCATAATTTATAATCGTTCGACAATAGCCTAAAGGTAGAAGTACGGACCGCGAACTCTACGGTCGAAACAGAAACAGAAACAGAAACTTTTTTATTCAATATAGATTATAAATAATACTTATTGAAAGTCACTCTTTTGTTTGATTACCACTGGTTCGGAAAAGACCTCTGTCCTGGGAAGAACCAGCAAGAAACCCAGCGGGACTTTTTTTAAATAACAGCTTACAATCATGATGTTACACAAATTAACAACACAACAAATTAGAAATAGCTTGGTAGCGATCACCTCATTTCCAGGGGTTATTATCATCCATAAATTCAAGTCGTGGGTTCGAATCCGCCATTCCAATAATGTCTTGAAATACTCCGAACGCAAGCATTTTAAGTTTACCTGGATATTAATGTAAATAGCTTTGCTAGTGTTTTAATTTTAAAAAAAACTGTATTTAAAGGTATCCATTAGAAATAATTCATGGTATGAGTATAGCTGCTGTCGATTTTGTCCCGTGAGCGTCTAAGATGTGACGACAGTAAAATGCTTTATTTATTTATTTTTAATTTAATAAAACGGTTAAACATTAATTCTTATTTTTTCTTATTTCCTTTAAAAACGTTATCACCATTTTAGGATTTTCTCTTGTGTCGGTGAGGCAGTTTACAAACATAAATTGCACAAGGACAAACATCCAGACCCGGAACAATTATTTGTAGGCTATACAAATACTTGTTCCGTGCGGGATTCGAATCCGCGGCCCCCAGCGCTGTAACTCATTGCTAAGCCACTGCGCCACGGAGCTGTCATATTAAAGACAACATAATATTCAGACAATATTACCGTCCGCAAACAGATTAAGTGCGGTGAGGACACGGGGAACAGGAGAGTTGGCGCGCGCAACGAAGCGTGCTCATGGCACAACATGGTACGGCAAAAAGTTTACGCTTGCGATTATGACGGTAGTTATGTGATACAAGAAATCGACACAGTTCGGTACTCAGTTCTAGAGCGTCTATCTTACCACGAATCATTTTACACGCCATGATAGCTTGTTGATACGCTCGCCGTACTTACAATGACTTTTAACTCAGAGAACCGAGGAGAAATTTAGTGGGATATTAATATAGATAGCATACATAAAGGCGCTTGTAGATATATCTTAAAAGGACCTTTTGGACCTTTTCCAAAAGAAAAATATAAGTGCTTTCATACGAATTCCAAACACAACAACTAGTTTCGAGTTTTGAGCGTACCAGAGCACTGGATATTAAGCGCATTACGCTATCGTTACAAATCTCTTTAGCATTTCTGAGAACAAATCCCAAACGATTGTATGATTCCCTAGCTAAAGTTATTATATGAGCGTGGAATGTAAGCTTTCAATCAAATATAATCCCTAGGTCTTTTATAGTGTTAGTCTGAGTCATAACATGATCATTGATTTTATAATCGTAACAAATAAGGAACAACTTACGACCATCAGACATTGAGTAACACTTATCCAAGTTAAACTCCATTTTATTCTTAACACTCCACTGGAATATAACATCTAGGTACATCACAACAATGCATTGCCACGCAATCGGCTACTGATTTAATCTATATGAACAGTTTTAAATCATCGGCGTACAGCAAATATTTCGAGTGTGCGACTACTATCATAATCAAAAAGAACAGAAGGCCAAGAATCGATCGTTAACTGACACTTGATTGCATGTGATAGGGTCTTGACTCGTATATACCGAGCCTAGCATAATAATAATATAAACAATAAAAATATATACAATACTATGTATAAACGCTAAAACTTACCTATCAGCTATCTAATAACGGATTTAAAAAAAACTGCAGTATCCAACCTTTTTGCCAAGCGTAGCAAATATGGCAAATATCCCCTCTATGAGTCAATCTATGGATAAGGACAGGCCTATGTTCAGCAGTGGACTTTAATAGGCTGTAACGGCAATCATAAATTACATTCATAAGCACTGGAGCAGTACGGCGACTAAAATACCCACCACAAGCGGCATACAGTTTTGTTCAGCCATTGCGGAGATTAGCGTGCTCAAACGAACAAGACAAACGGACGTAATACTGACGATTAAATCAGCGCTTAACTAAAATCCCACGTCATTGTAATCGTAATGAGTAAAATAATAATAGTAATGGCATTTTTAATTAGTGGAATTTAACATTGAGATTTTTATGCATGATAACTTGAACAGACTTAACCGCAGTCACTATTTCCTTGTTGACAGGTACATTTTAATGAATGATGTAGAGTAAATATATCTATAATATGTAGCTATAATGCATGTCTCATCCACGTACAAAAACAAACGCTTATTTCTTCCTATCCTCTGCTGGACAGAGAACATTGTCAATAATTTAACAAAAAATAAAAACCAACTTCTTATTGCTAGAAAAGAAGTTATTTATATGAGTAGCAAAATTAGAGGTGGAATTTTTTCTCCAAATTAAAAAAAAACAAAAGCAAAAAAAAAAACCCTTGAAGTAAGTATAACCTATTTAATGAAAAAGAATCATCTAAAGTGGTTCACAATCTGCGAAGATATTATATAACATACATACAAAAAAAAACATACACTCGAATTGCGAACCTTCTCTTTTTTGAAGTTGTTTAAAAATAATAGTCTTACCAATCTGGTGTTTATTTTTAACTATTAATACAACGCAGTGTGAAAGGATGTTGGAACGTGAGTAAACACAATCCCGCAAAATTATGATTTGTGACTTATTTTTCCCAACAGGTAAACAAAATATACCAAAATATATAAAATATCTAACTGAGAAGGTAAATTTTGTTTATCAACCCCAGTATACATATTGGTCTACATATACATATAGAGGCTCGACCGATAAAGTCAAGGTTCATTGAGCATTATTCGCGTTTGCTGCTATGACAAGATAATAATATTAACAACCTCGTGGCTTAGAACTCAGAATACCAGGTTACTGAATCGGGTATGCTTAATTCAAATCTCGCACACAAAAATAATTTAACAGCTCAAAAAGCAGTGTTATTTTTGTATTAATGGTATGAATATATTACATTTAACCAAGGGAATATCAAATATATTCAAAATCATCATCAAATATATTCATTTAATCAAATATATTCAGAGCGCGAGCTTGACCCTACATTGAATTACTATTAGATGAGAACAGATTTTTCTCGTAGACTGTAACACGATACGGTACTTGATTTTGATGACCGTTCGTGTGATGGCAGCGTAGAAAACGTGGAGAGAATCCATAACTCCATTTCGTCCCGCTTGGCAAAACCTTATGGCTTTCGATAGATGGTAGTATACCATATCGTGTTATGCCAAGCGTATAGTATCCAGAACGGCGACGTGGAGCAGTAATAAAGGTATGAGACTTCGGCTACTACCTACGTCAATACACCTCCCAAGCGTGATGATTAAATCGAAAAGAAAACAGAAAAGTTTTATGGTCTGCTTTTTTTTATAGAATAAGGGTGACAAACGAGCACACAGTCCACCTGATGGTAAGTGGTTGCTGCGGCCCATAGACATCTACATCTATCTTCGTTTGCGAATCAAAATGCAGATGGGTTGTCAGCCGTGAGGACTAAGATAAAACGCCTCTTTTCCAGTAAAATGGGTCTCCAGTTCTCTACACTCACCATACGAAACACAGCAGCATTCAGCTGCTATTTTACGCTGGTATTCTGTGAGAGCGTGGTCCTTCCCTGGTCGAGCCGACCCATTCGTGCTACAACTATACTATTAATATAGCTGCAGCATGGCTCTACCACGTAAATGGCGATGAAGAAAAAAAAGAAAAATGGTGAAATTTCATCGGATGCATGAATGCGACTGTGATTTTTATTCTCCATTGGCTACCTACAGTAATCTTATCCTGGCTAATTATTATTTCAATAACTGCATAATTTAAATAAAATCCGGTGGGTACCTATCATATGTGGCAACAGAGGAGAATCAAACAAGGAGATGGGCAGCAATGTGTTCCTAATAACGACTAGAAAATAAAAACCTGCCGTTGCCATCCCGCCTGCCAAGCGCCACGCTACTAACTATGGAAAATATGGAGATATTTATTTCCTTATGAGGTTCCTTTTATAGGTTGTAATGGATGATGAAACTTTTAACGTATATAACGTAAATTAAATATATATTTTGGCACAGACGTGAAAAAATCTTAAATTCAACGGAAGATTAATGTCCTCCAGATTGAATATCGATCACGTCGACAATTGTCAACGGACTTATTATTATACTAGCTGTTCCTCGCGACTTCGCCCACGTGGAATTTACTACGATTTTATGGGTTTTAAGTATCCTAAGTTACTCCTTATAACATCAGCTATCTGCCAGTGGAAGTCCAAATCAAAATCGGTCCAGCCGTTTCGGAGATTACCCGGAACAAACAGGCAGACAGAATTTTAAACTGTTAAACAAATTTTAAAAACTGTTTTTTTGTTATTGGTACCGTCTATACTTTCATATGCATTTAGTAAAATGCAGTTATTTTAACATTACAAACAGACACTTCAATTTTATTTATTTGTATAGATTGGGAACATGGAGTATAGAGTAGAAGGAGGACCATCTCTGTATAAGAATAAGATGTCCGTAAAAACGCATCCAATAAGTGTGGCGCTGCGGTAGCATAGGATAAATAAAAAAAGCGCCAAAAGTAATTAGAATAAGATGGAGAAATAAACAAGGACCGACCAATCCGCTTGGTATCGTACTACGTAAATAGTTGAGGTTTTGTATAGGTACTGGCATTTTACTAACTACTCTAGTCGTGAAAATTTTTAAATATTTGAATTCAGCTGACTTCACTCCGTCTACTACAGTAGGTATATTCATATCGTAGTTTTTTAGACGCCAGCGCTATTGTGGTAGGTTTTGGAACTTCTATTTTCAGTATACAGTTTAACACTTTTTCAACTTTCCCCCGTATGAGATGGTTCTCCTTCTACTCTATTCTCCATGATTGGGAACTAACTTTCTGCGCAGGATACGATTTTAGTCAACGAGTGTGTGCACAGATGCACTTTATTAGTGCATAGTTCGATGAGATGGCAATCTGACACGACCAGAGAAAGATCAGGCGTAGGACCAACTGCTTAAATTGCTTTCCCAGGCACGAGAGTGAAACAAAGTCAACTTCCTGACTCTGGGCTGCTACTGAATTTCTCGACAGATAAAACCCAATTATTAATTTAAAGCCCAACCGAGGATTTGAATACGTAGCCACATGATCAGCAATGGAGCTTACGACAGCTAAACCAACCATGCAATCAATGCAGCGTCAATTCAATAAAAAAAATCCAGAGGAAGATATAGGTTTATTAACACTCCAGAAAAGTACGCTAGAATGTTTTAATATATGTCTTATGGGATTTTGCTATGGGGAAATGCGGCTGATTCAGAAACTATTTTTGTTTTACAGAAGAGGGCCATTAGAGCTATTTACAACCTAAAACCGAGAGAGTCACTAAGAGATAAATTTAAAGAAATAAATATATTAACTTTGGCCTCTCAGTATATTTACGAAAATTTAATGTATGTTCACAACAACAAAGGTAGTTTTAGTAAAAAAAGGGATGTACATTCTGTAAACACTAAGAACAAACACAAGCTAGTGATACCAGTTTCTCGACTCCACAGAGTCAGTAATTCATTCTTGGGGCAATGTATACGCTATTACAACAAGGTCCCGGAAAGTGTACAGGCTCTCTCTATTACCAAGTTTAAATGTTTTGTTAAGTTGAAACTGTATAAAAAGGGTTATTATAGTATAAATAAATACATGGCTGATAATAACCCCTGGGAATGAGGTGGTCGCTTCCAAGCTGTTTCTAAAATAAATTTTGTACTTATATAGTTTGTACAACCATTAATGTAAAATTTGCTTTTAAAAAAAAGTCCCGCTGGGTTTCCTGCTGGTTCTTCCCAGGACAGAGGTTTTTTTTCGAACCAGTGGTAAAGTAAAAAATGACTTTCAATAAGAATTACACATGTGATCTATATTGAATAAAAAATTATTCTATTCTATTCTATTCTATAAATTTAAATTGTATTTTGTGAGAGCGTAGTTATCAACAGACAGGCGATAGACTCGTCTTACTGTGACAGAAGACTTAAATTGATAATGTTATTATAGAATAAGGGGGACAAACGAGCACATACTTGACCTAATGGTAAGTGGATGCTGTGGCCAATAGACATCTACATCTATCCTCGATTACAAATCAAAATGCAGATGCGTTGCCACCTCGTTTCTAGTAAAAAGAGTATCCGGTTCTCTACATTCACCATATATGATATAAGTGTACCGTATGTATACTTATATCATATTGAACGTTTTGTCAGCGATTTCTTTGCAAGTCCCGTAAATCGATTAAATCAAAGACAACTGAGTTTATCATCAAGAAAATAAAACTTAGTAAAGACCTAGTGCCATTCCTTGGGGGAGGATTTTGCTGTGCGGCCAGTGATGAATAGCAGTGCATTTGTGAAGTTCTGTAATGATGATGGATGATAAATAAGTCCTTTATTTATTCCTTGAAAATATATAAAAAAAAAACAAATGAAACATATTTGCCACATAGGGAGATAAGTAGTTAGTGGCTTATTAATGTCCATCATCCGATTTCGTCTCGCAGGTTATGTAAAAGGTGGTAGAAAAGGTCTAAAAAAATAAATAAACCCGGTCAAGTGCGAGTCGGACTCGCGCATGACCGGTTCCGTAAAACACGTTTCTAGTAGGAGGAGCCCTCTTTAATTTTTAATATATTTTTATTTATATTATTATAGATACACAAATAAAATAAAATACACATTCTGTGAAAATTTCAACTGTCTACCTGTTACGGATAATGAGATAGAGCCCGATGACAGACAGACGAACGGTCGGACGGACGGACAGGGGAGGCTTATAATAGGGACCCTATTATAAGCTTCCGCTGTCCGACCGTTGGTTACCCTTCGGGTACGGAACCCTAAAAATTAATCATTTGTAATGAGTCTTTTCGTTTTCGACCTGACTGTCTGTTTGTTCCAGCTAATCTCTGATATGGCTGAACTGATTTTAACGGGATTTTCACAGGCAGATATCTGATATTATAAGGAGTAACTGAGGCTACTTTAATTTTAGAAAAAAAAAATAGGGTTTGCGCAAAAAAAAATTAAAACCTATGAAATCCAGTCGCAATATATCCTACGCGGACCAAATCGCGGGACACAGCTAGTCGGTTATAATATACCTAATAGTAATAAAATTAACATGACATATTCGCCTTTAACGACACCCATGGGACGAAACATTACATAACATTTTTGGAATCAGTAATTTGAAATTGAAAACTAAAGTTTATTTCGGATTTCAAATGCACTGCAATTTTTAATAGCCACAACTAGCGGACACACAAAACTTTAACAAGTATAATAAAATCAATTTATTACAAATGGGGCCAATTGTGAGCGAGATGCTCAAGGCAAAATTCGAGGTGCGAAATAACTGTTTACAATCTGGTAATGGTTTGTAAATTATATTGCTATACATATATATATACAATCATTATTAATTTATGCTTTAAAGTATCATTGCCGACTTGATCGTATTTTGAGGTAATGGGGAAAAACTTAACTGTTTTCAATACCGTAAAAAGAATGTAGATATTTTGTTCCAAATTATATTACAATAACTAGCTGTTCCCCGTGACTTCGCCCGCGTGGAGTTATGGTTGGATTTTATGGGTTTTAATTTTTGTGCACGGAACCCTATTTCCTTTTCTAAAATAAAAGTGGTCTAAGTTACTCCTTATAACATTATCTCTCTGCCAGTGAAAGCCCCTCAAAATCGATCCAGCCGTTTCGGAGATCAGCCGGAACAAACAGACAGATAGACAGACCGACAGACAGACAAAAATTTTAAAAATTGTGTTTTTGTTATAAGTACCGTATGCTTTTAAAGGCTGTAATTTTGACATTACAAACAGACACTTCAATTTTATTTATTTGTATAGATATAGATGTCCTAAACATTGTAAAAATAATGAACTAGGGTTGGTTAACACAATCAAGCTATCACAATTAATCCTTCAAAAAATATATTTTTCTGACATTAGCTACGTAATATTTTAATTTGATCTTTGCACTGAAAGAATACGAAGAGTATTTAATATTATTACATTTGTCCTGACATCTGACATATGAGCATGCATTGCCCTATTAAAACAATAACAAAAAACATTCAGCTAATATCTTAAATACGCTTGAGAATAAAATTACATACCTTTGTAAAAAGATCACAGGAGACCGTGTGAAACACCTTGCCATATATGCAAATATCCTTGCCGATGTCCAAGTCCTTCCAGTGCCAATATTCACCCATATCATTTTTTGGGATTTTACCACGCTTCACCAACTTGCCTTGCCACAAACCAGAATTCTGTAACAATTATTCAAAGAGGGTAATCCAACATTTACGCCTGTAAATCTGCAATATATTACATACATACATAAACACTCACGCCTGTCACCCAGAGGGGTAGGCAGAGATTATGGACTTCCATTTGGCACGATCCTGACACACCTCTCTCGCTTCCTCCACATCCATATACCTACGCATACACGCTCGTCGGTTAAAGGTACTCTTGATTTGGCCCATTTTTAATATATCGCCAATTTGGTCGATAAACTTTCGCCTAGGGCGGCCCTTCCTGACTATGCCGTTCATTCATTCTTTCTACATGGCCAAACCACCGAAGCATTCCTTTCTTAATCTGGTCACAACATCATCTTGCAAACCACACTCTTCTCTTATTAAACAATTTCTCACTCTGTCATTCAGCTTCATCCCTAACATACTCCTTAATGACCGCATTTCTACAGCATTTATTCTACTCTCATGCTTCTTCTGCCACACCCAACTTTCACTACCATACATTAAAGTAGGTACTAACACAGCATTGTGAATTGCCATACGTGCCTTTTTGGACACATTCTGACTTTTCACAATAGAGTGTAGAGCCCCATTCACTATACTTACTCACTGCAATATATTAGTATTTTATTTTTCTTTCGCCATATTCTAATATCATCATCACCACCATTATTACTGCTCTTCACAAGTCCACTGCTGAATATATGCCTCCCTAAAGAATTCCTGTATTCTAACAGAAGTATCCAATACGTCAGATGGTCAGCCCGTAGCACTCTATGCTAGAGAGTCCTATACCCTAAAACGCTTTAAGAATAGTTCAGTACATTGTTTTTATATTTTATAAAAAAATAACTGTGGAAATATCGTTTTAAATTTGGAAGATTTAATTGTTTAATTAGAAATGAGACATTTGTTGAAGTTGAGTGATATGTTACTTTCAAATAAATTTGTAGGTACGATACGCGCGCCACCTACTGTAAGTTAATTGTATTATGCCTATAGCCTTCGCGGAAGTGTAAACAATAAGTTGACAATGTTTTACCGCAATCTGATGAACGGTATGGCAGCGCATAAAATACAAACAAAGAAATTAATATAATTTTTATATATTAGATTGATTATTAAATTAATTCCTACGGAACCCTTTTTGAAAGCTTCTGTTAACCCTGACATGGTATATGATATTAATTTGCTTCCACTAAAGCCTAGAATTGTTCTTCCCTTTCTCGACTTTTGCGTTCATTGATCCCTTTCTCGACTTTTGCGTTCGTTGAAATTACTACAACAAAAGCGATCAAACTAAAAAGGCATATTCAAAAAAAAAACCTGAGGTTAAATTCTACCGTAATCGCAGACCCAGCGATATTAGAACGAATCCAAACGGCACCAAAAAAACTATTGAAAAAAGCAATATAACAAGGAGGTTTAATATGATATTGATTTAAATTTGTAATTTCTAAATTCAAATCGTATGCAAAACAACGGACTTCGAACCTAGTAACCGAGTTCAAAAATGTTTAATGTGTGTTCACCGATTGCTCGGTAACGGCTGAACTGAACTGAATGATTTAAATGAGACTTATGTTATTAATATACTTCAAGGGTGTTCCCGTACATATTTGAATAAAAATACTACCCCTACGGGTGAGAAAGTAGGCGATAAAGTTTTTAATGTAGCCATTCAGACGATATTTTAGTCGCTCCTTTGAACTTGTGATATTACTCAGTCCACTCAAAATTTTTAACCTTTTTTGTGTGCGTCTCAAAAATATTTTTACCCTTTCTTGTGTGCGACTCAAAAGTATTTTACACTTTCTTGTGTGCGAATCAAAAATATTTTTACCCTTTCTTGTAGGCTGTGGTACCCTTTCTATGTGTCCATAATTAAAGATAACAAAATAGTTTTCACATAACAGCTATGTAAAGGGTGCTACAACATAGTGTACAACAAAATAAAAATCCCGATTGCATAAGCCATTAAAGTTACTGTCTATCAAAGTCCATTGCAGAACAGAGGCCTCCACCATAGATTACCCCATGGGGATATTTAACACAAATACCACGCTTAGCAGGCGAGACGGCAACCGCAGTTTTTAATTTTTTAAGCAGTTATTATTATAAGAAAGCTGCTGCCCATGTCCTCTTACGACACCCACGGGACGGTATTGTGTAGTGGATATTCTTACACCACCGTGCCGCTACACGGCAGGAAGCTATATTATGTGGAATTACATTATCCGTTAAAATTCTTTAAGTCGTTTCTTACTTTTTAATAAAAGTTTAATGTAAAATTAGAACGATAAAAGTGTTAGCAGCCAAATGTAACAAGTAACCATTTAGGAATTTACGCACCCGGCGCCCACTACTATCATCAAACAAACTACGGCTACAGGTCCGTTGTCACCGGTGAGGGCCAAAATGAAATTCCTTTTAGCCTGTAATTTGTACTGCCTTTTACCCGGAATACAACAGTGAATAAAATAAAATAAAGGAACACCCAGGATGAACTTTTAGGCACGACAGGAGCCCTGCCGTTGAATAAATTATGCAATGAATTTTTACGAAGTGGATTACACGAACAACTTCTTTCATTAAAAACCCAATATTTCTCTTACTTTTTAATAAATGCCCTTCAAAGGTGTAAGGATTATTTATAACTTAGATTGTAAAGAGTCCGTCGGAGACATGTTTAAAGTAATAAATAATGTGTATTAGCTTTGCACTAATGTATGTTCATAAAAAAACTGGTAGTGCCACGCTGCAGCTGTACTTGGTGTCGGCACAAATGGATCGGCTCGACAGGGGAAGGAACACGCTCTCACAAAATACACGATTTCTTTGTGAGGTACGGATCTTCAACAAAATAGTCTATTTAAAAAAGGATGGCTAATGTTGATGACAATGTTTGCATGAGCGTTGGTAATCCCTTACCATTAGCAGCATGATCGTTTGCCTACTGTACTATTTCTTGCTGTTTCTTCCTAGGCAAAAGCTATTTTGCGGACCGGTGATAAATAAAAAAAAATACTTTAAATAAGTTTTATGTAATTATATATAAGTATTTAATAAAAATATTCTATTCTATTCCAAAGTTTTTAAACCTTTGTAAAATGTCATTCAATCTGAATAGGTTTTAAAATAACGTACATACATATACCGTCGAGCCACAGAGTAGTAAAGTATTAATGGAACAGGTTATGAAACCATTTTGGCTTTTAAATTGAAGTGGAAAATTTTGGCATTTCAGACTGCCTCTTTAATTTTGTAGCACAAGTTTGCATGTCGGCAATTTAGTTTTCCTGGTTTCGAATCTCTAGCAAAATAAGTATTATTCGTATAAATGTAAAAATACTTATTCGTTGTTTTATAATAGATTAAATTATAATAATATTAAATGTTTACCGTGTCTATTTCTTCGTCATAGCATTTTTATCCGCAGAATATTATTCTAAAAGTTCTGAACTAATTTATGAAATAAAATATTTTAATAGGGTGCAGTAGCCCGTTTCATTCTGATAGACTACTAGCTTTTTGTCATTCTTAGGGCCACTTTTTCGCTCATCGGATAAAAGTTATCCAGTGAAACAATTGAACTATTTTATTTATATAACTACCCTTTTTTATTTGTTTACTAGCGAACCGCCCCGGCTTCGCTCGGGTGATTTCTGGATCTCGACAACAGCTCCACCTATCGGCTCCGATTGTAAATCTAATCCATTCAGGGACACAAAAATTCTAATCCACTCAAACACACACAAAAAATTTCACCAGTTTCGAGTTTCGATAGAACGGACAGCAATTGATTTTTATATATCAAAATTGATTGCTGTTATATTGTAATTTACTGTTACTTATAATCTATACAAATAAATAAAATTGAAGTGTCTGTTTGTAATATTAAAATAACAGCTTTTTACTAAATGCATATGAAAGTATATACGATACGTATAACAAAAACACAATGTTTAAATTTTTTGTGTGCCTGTTTGTTCCGGCTAATCTCCGAAACGGCTGGACCGATTTTGAAGACACTCTCACTGGCAGATAGCTGATGTTATAAGGAGTAACTTAGGATACTTTTATTTTAGAAAAAGAATTAGGGTTCCGCGCAAAAAAATTAAAACCCTAAGTTACACGCGGGCGAAGAACAGCTAGTTTACGTGAATATAATTTTATCTGGCGTTTGAAAAATCAGACTTTTAAAATATAACGTTCTTCGGCACTAATATGTGGTAAATTGTATTATTATGGTGGGGTTGTTATAAACTAATTTGCTTAATTAGTTTATAACAACCCCATTATAATGGATTTCCGGAAAGTAACGCCTGATTCTATCAATTAATTGTATTATTGCTTAAGCCGTGTGGTAGCAGAGTAAGAGGATCCGTCACATTATTTCATCGCTTGGGTTGGGCTAGAAAAGACAATGGGAAATACCAGAAAAACCTTTTGGCATCCGGATAGCCGTGGTAGCTCAGGGGCTACGCGCTCCAATGAAACTGTTAATTGCTATTTTAAGTGTTGATGAAAACCATCGTGTGAAAAGTCTGAGAAATAAGAAAAAAATATTACTGCGACATGTGAAGTTCGCCAACACGCATTGGGACAGCGCGGCGGACATTTCCTTGTCCTAAAACTCTCTTGGAAATGAGAGGAGGCCTGTGCCCTGCAGTGGGACGTAAATAGGCTGTAACTTTCTGGATAGATGGCGGTGTACCATCTCGTTTACGCCAAATGTAAAAATATTCAGACCGACGACTGGCAGTACCGACGCCTAAGGTGCCAGACGTCTGGCACTGTGATCATCGACCCGCCTGCCAAACGTTACGATTAAGGCAAATTGTCCCTTCAATGTGGAAGGCCCTTGACTAGACGTTGACTTCTACTAGGTAATGATGAACAAGTAGAAGATGATTAATAGAGTCAGGTGTCACTTTGGGGAAATCAAAAGTCTCTTCAAACTTTTACCACGCAGATCTTAGCTAATTGTTATTTAACATTTTTAAGAAGATGGTTAATGCTTAGTTTTCCCATACAAGTTAAGTTGAAAAACGAGCTCATAGTCCAACTAATGGTAAGGGAATGCTGTTATCTGCCTACACCTTTGATTAAAAATCAAAATATTTTTTCTTTGCCACCACTGGTGACCAAAGAGAATATAATCACTACGTTTAAGAGGCGGGACTTCCATAGTAAAAATAATTGCATGAAATTACGCCAAGTTACTTTACCAACATCAAGATATGACATTTAGTTTTGAGAAACAGTGCTGACAACATTGACGAATTACAATAGTGCTGAATGTCTATCCTCGAATAATTTTATCGATATAACCTTTATCGATATATTGTTTATCGATATTTTTACATAAGAAAAGTTAGATCTCTATACTGAATTATTTATGAGAAATAAAATTTTTAACGTGTGGATTGAATAAAAATGCCGATGAGGATAAGAAATCAATGTATTTTACACACAGCGATTTGTATTTATATCTCTACAATTAGGTACAAAAGTATGTATAAAGAAAATATAAAATAAAAAACGCACTTTTAAACTAGTAATTAATGAAATAAAAAATAAATGACGACTCCGTAGCGCAGTGGCTAAGCGTTTGGCTGCGGCATTGTAGGACCGAGGCTTCCTTCCCGCACTGAACAATTGTTGCTATGCTGTAAAATAAATAGTCTGCGTCTGGATGCTTGTTTTCAACGTTAGTTTTTTAAGGGTAAAATATTGGGTTTTTAATACTGATTGGATTAAATTGCTCTTATGTGTAACAAATACTATGTACAAATCGCTAGGCTTCTTCACAGAGGCACCTATGTACATACTATCGCAGAGATCGTTTACTAATTGTCGCTTTCAAAATAAGTGCTCATTATAGCTAATGTTTATTGATGAATAAAATAATGATTTAGTTATATAATCTAATTCTTGCCAAAATGTGACTTTAGAGGGATATTATCTTTTGCTACATGTAAATGAAACCTAATTAACATACACATAAATTGTGGAAGTTTAAAGTAAGGCCACTAAAGAAATATAAGTTCGTTTTAGTTGGGTTTATATCCAATGTTTGTCACAAATATGTCTTAACATGTAAATCTTTTCAATTGGTGCATGTGCCAGCTATTTCAACCATTGCTTGCATCTGAAAATATAAATAAAAGCACATTATTATTGAACAAATAGAATGTTAGCAGTCAGAATTGACTTGTAGTTTCTAAGTATAGTTCGTTTCCGATTGCCAAACTATCGAACTATCAGATTTAGGAAATAGTGTGTTTGTATTTGTGCACACAATCGTACACTATAAAAACATGTCCTACATAGATGGCTAGTCCAAAAATATACTCGCGTTGAATATCATATTACTATTAAAGTTGAAATCACCACATACCTTTCATCATCTAAGGGAAATATTGTTACGAATAGCCTTTTCTTGTTATCATTTTTTCCGCTTCTTGCACCATTTAATTGGAAAGTTTTATAATACATATTTAATTTCTTAACAATTCTGTAAATGAACAACGGCTCCTATAGCAAAATTAAAAGCAATCTTAATTAATAAAATATATACAAATATAAATGTTTGATTTGACATTTGAACCTATTTCATTTGACAATGTCGTTAATAGACATGTCACGAAAAGCATAAAGAAGAGTAACCGTCATTAAAATTTGACCCCTGTAGTACATATAATTTTTACTATGGAAGTTGCACCAGCCTGCTGGTGACTAAGGTCGAATGCATCGTATCCAGTAAAAAAGCTCTCCGAATCTGTTCACACACCATACGAACCACAGCCACGTTATGCCAGTAATTTACTCTGACATTTTGTAATAATGTGACTTCTTTGTTCGAGCCGACAAATTCGTGGCACAGCAGTATAAAACTGAAGCATAATTCTACTCCGTAAATTTTATTATTCATTGATCGAGCAAAGAAAGCAACACAAAAACAAATAAATTAATAAAAAATAAAATGGGCAAGGATACATGATTATTTTTTATTGAAGAGATGACAAACAAAGCACACAGTCCACCTTATGGTAAGTGTATGTTGTGACTTAAAGACACTTATGTTTCCATCCACCCGACCATTCATCCACTACACTTTATATAAGTCCACCGCTGAACATAGGCCTCCCTCATAGGTTAGCTCATGGGGGGGATTTTGCCATAGTTGCCACGCTTGGCAAGTGGTTTTGCCACCGCAGGTTTTTATTATTTTGAGTAGTTATCAGGAAGATGCTGCAGCCCATCTCCTGTTTCATTTTCCCTTTGTCGCCTCCTACGACACCTTCGGGACAATATTCTTACACCGCAACTACACTGTCTATAATATTTCCATACTCAATAAAAAATACATATGTCACCCCTAACAATTAAGATGGTTACCAGTAAAAAGTGCTTTCCGTTTCTAAAAGAGATAAATAAGCTTTTCTTTTTTTAAATATAAGGTATTTCCATATAATTATTTAAATACTTGTTCTTAATGCACTTCCACTGACATTCGAAAAACTTTACGTACTTTACTAAACGAGATGTGTAAAACAAAGTCTGTAACATTCGGATCGAATACTTGACGAACAAAACCTTCCCGCTTCCGAGGTACTGTGAATAGCCTGGCAGCAGTGCAAACACTGCTAGTTGGCGGCAGAAATAGTTAGGAGGGTGGTGCCTGCACAGACGGACTCCTAACATCTAATGACTGTAACGAGTACCTACACCTAAGTCCTTAAACATTTTTCACTAACTGATGACGGACAGTATTAACAGCTCTGCACTTTGGCACACCAGCGTTGTAAGTACGGGTAACTCTTTAAGTAGGTAATGCATGCAAGCCAAAAAATTCTCATAAAAACTGATATCCAACACTACACTTAGAAAAAGCTAATGTGCATTGTGTATAAAATATACAAACAAATTGTGGGAATATTCATACCTTCGTCCGCGGCTCCATAACGGTGAGAGTGTCATCTTCAAGGAAATAAACGATGTTCACAATCCGCACTCTGTAATTCTCGTCAGGACTCTCGTAGACGGGCTGCTTGAAGAACGCGGTGAAGTTGAGGCAGCGCTTGTCGTAATGTACCCAATGCGGTATGACAGCCGGTAGTGCCGATTGCTTCACCCGACCATACGTCAATGAGGGATCGTAGCTGTTGCGGTTTTTAATACAATATCCGCTGTTAGTACTTATAACTCGGTACACATTAATTGTTAAATGATTTTTGACATAATTTAAAGTGTCTGTCGACATCTGCGACGAAGGTCAACTTTTACAAGTCAAATGTGGATATAAATTCTAATTACTTGCAATTCAAGTATCAAACTTTTTTTTTTATAAAACTAATGTGTCAAATGGACTTACAGTACAGCTGATGGTAAGTAGCTACTGAAGTCCATGGACGCCTGCTGGTTACAGATGCGTTGTCACCTCTGAGGACTAAGATTGAATGCCACAGTCTGTAATTGTACTGGCTCCCTATTCGCTTTAGACCGGGAAACAGTGCAAGCACTGCAGTTGGCGGCACTAATAGATAAGTGTGGTGCTTACCCAGATGGACTCCTAGGCAGAAGAGTGGTTCCACCTCCTTATAAATTATGACATTACTGACAACCGCTTAGCTAAGTCTGCTAAGTATGCAAAATAAAAAAAAAACATGCGTGAGTGTCGTGGGACACTCGGTTGGAACGAAGTTCCTTTCGTAGTATATTATTATTGATAAACCTATTATATTATTGATTAACAAAAACAATTGAATTACTAGTGTCTATTAAAATGAAGCGTCATTTAAAATAAAATAATATAACATTCATGGCAAGGTAAGACAAAGTGTGAGGGACATGGATATTATTCCATCTCGCTTCCTTATTTCGCCGCCAAGGCCGTCTACACTACGTCAGAAGGGGTCGTGACGGAAAAATCTTAAACTTTTCGTCGCCTAGCCCCCATCCGTCAAATCCGTACCGTCCGATAAATAACTTCGTTCCAATAACCACGTGATTCTAAATTCGAATTACAGCGGGCTCAAAATTCGTACAAAATACAAATTATTGGTTTTCGGATCTATTGCGTAAGCCTAAATTAGTAAAGACCACATTAGTGTATGCCTGTGTTTGGGTGTACAGCTGTCGTTCGGATGTTGTCGCAATACGTAGGAAACCCACGCTGCCGCTGAAGTATGGGGGGAAGTATCGCACTCTAACAGAATAACAGCGTTCATGCTGCTTCGTTTTATATATATAATGAGTGTAAATAACCAGAGACCTTTCGCTGGTATACAGCCATTCTATCTTAGTCCTCCAGATTGGCCACGCATATGCACTGCATTGCACTGCACTTACCATCAGATGGACTGTTTCCTCATTTGTCTTCCTTATTCTGTAAAAAATAGTAGAAATACTCAGCAATGGTCAGCATATTTAGGTTTTGTTTTCACCTCACTAAGCCTAAAATATTATTAAAGAAATAGTAGATCGAATTCCTGTTGGTATGAAAAGTGCAAGAATACATCGAAATTCGGGCTCCACTTGACTACACAATATACAGTATATAAGTGACTAGCGCAGTTTAACTTTTGGTAGCTTTTGAATTTTTCACCATTTCTATCGGAAGCAATAAGATCTTTCTAGCACTTCTCATAGTCCTAGCTTACGCCATATGACATAAAATGTAATGATGCATCTTCTTATGGAATCATGACACGACATCAGACATAACTTATTGCTTGATAATTCGATAAATATTGTGGTCTTTATTTTACTGTGCACAAGTACAAACTGGCGGATTTCACATCATCATCATCATCATCATTACAGGCCTTCACTAGTCCACTGCTGATCATGAGCATCCTCGAAAGGATGCTACGAAACACAGTGCCTGAGATACTTACCATTTTTTTATAGAATAAGGTTGACAAACGAGCACACAGTCCACCTGATGGTAAGTGAATGATGTGGCCCATAGATATATACATCTATCCTCCAATAAGAATCAAAATGAAGAATGCGTTGCCACCCCTGAGGATTAATATGGAATGACTCGTTTCCTGTAAAAAGGATCTGCAGTACTCTACAGTCACAACATTAAATTTCGAGTCGGTCCGGTCCAGCCCCGGTCGAGCTGACCCATTTGTGATATAACTATAATATAGCTGCAGCATGGCTTTACCACGCATCCATCGACTTCCTGCATATCTTAACAGGTCATTCCATATATATAGTTCACTTCACTTACCTTTACGACCTGCTACTTGAGAACCTTTCTGCCTAATCAGTTGTCGGTTATTCGACGTAAGACTTACTGATCAGTTGAACTATGTCGGTTACTCTGGTTCTACTGCGGATATCTTTATTTCCAAATTATTTCACGCAGAAAAACTCCGAGCATAGCCCTCTCCATAGCTCACTAAGCCACCTTGAACTTCCTCGGACGGCCAGCAGTGAAGGACCACGTCTCAGATCCATGTACTCGTATTATCACTGGTATACACTCATGGTTTAAAATTTTGAGGTATACGTAACGTGTCGTTATATATAATATAGTGGACTTGGATCCGCCGATCGACCTATTAATCTAAATTGGACTTACCTAGTTGGACAGTTACCTACGTAAACATCCTCGACAAAAACATGGAACGTAGTGCTCCTAGCTACTACCAGCATAGATGTGGCGGTATAGCTGTATTTTCACATGTAGGACCTACTCGATTTTTTTATAATTTCCCATCTTGATATAATATCCTCGCGATGTTTTTCAGTGCCGGGTACGTGTATATTTTAAAAATAAACTGTCATATCGAAAATACTAACTTTACAGAATCCTCGGGTAATGCAAAGGCATTGCTGTCCACATCCGTGGCTGCACCGCCAGGTCCTCGTACCACCGTGTCTGGGAATCTATATCCTTGGTAATAACGCAGAGAGCTCCGCATGTGATATTTAGTTTTGGTTGGGTCCGAGAAGGACAGTCCAGGAAGTTTTGGCAATCCCCACGCCATGATATATTTACTGTTTTAGTTAATATTTTATTTAACATATGAACAAATTATAGAAGATGATTTTTAAATAAAAAATCATCGTTAAAGAAAGTTTAAGAAAGTAATAAAACAAAACTAAATCAGAGAGAGAAGTTAAGAGTTAAATCTACTTATACTTACAAAAGTCAATAATAAAATAAAATGATTATGACCGAAATAAACTGTTCCCGAGTACTATATTCACAAAACGAATATTGTATTTTATTCTAAACCTATATAAAAATCGTAGTCATGTAAACAGCTGATGTCAATAAACGAAATTGTTCCTAGGTAACGAAAAATAAGGGTGATAACCCACCGGCGTTGTTTTGAGTTAAAATTGTATTCAATGTATTGAACAAAGAGAATATAATCACTACGTTTAATATTGAACGACAGTTACCGTCATGCCAATATAATAGGATTTGTCCAAGACTGCTGGTGACAACTGGACACGATAAGCTAAAGATAAATATGACACACCTCACATGATAACTACATACATACGGTGAACTACCGAAAACTTATAAAGTAATATCTTTTTTTATATAGAATAAGGGTGACAAACAAACAAGCACACAGTCCACCTGCTGGTAAGTGGATGCTGAGGCTCAAAGACATGTACATCTATCCTCAATTAAGAATCATGTAGATGAGTTGTCACCACTGGGGACTAAGATGGAATGTTTCGTTTTTAGTAAAAAGGGAATACGGTTCTCTAAACTCACCATACGAAACACAGCAGCATTAAACTGCTACCCAGTCAATCCAGATGACTCAGTTGTACTTATCACAATAATATAGTTGAAGTTATTTTTAAAATTTTAGTCTGTCTGTCTGTTTGTTCCGCTAGAGTCCGGCCGAACCTATTTCGGCGGGACTTTCACTGGCAGATAGCTGATGTTATAAGGACTAACTTAGGCTTATTTTATTTCAGAAAAAATTAGGGTTCCGCGCAAAAAATTAAAACCTTTCAAATTTAATCGTAATGAATTCCACGCGGACGAAGTCGATGGTAACAGCTAGTTTATGTTTAAGATAATCATCAAAGACCACTGTTACGGACAGCGAGAGACCCGCCGCCCCGTCGCCCCTTCGTTCCCCGTTACGTCCCGCGCACCCCGCACGCCGGCGCTGATCACGCGATATCGGGCAACCAATCAGCGCGCGTGCGGCGAAAATTGCCATCGGGCGGATAACCCCACGGAATGAAGCGCTCTCCTCGGGAATATAAGAAGGGCGATTTAGGCCGTGGGCTCGACACTCCGCCTGTGGACCGCTCTCGAGCGGTCGTGTCCAGGTAGTCCGCGCATCCGTCCCCGTACGGTAGTGCTCTCTCGCTCTCGCGCCTCCGCTGTCCTGCTCGCGCTTACAGCGTCGACGCCTTGGTGAGTCATTTTACGCTAACTCCAGTTATTACCTCCCTGTCTCCGGGCGGGGCGGTTTGACTGTTGGTCTTGCTTGTTATTGTTATTTTTATTGTTAATTCTTTTGTTAACTATTTCTAATTTTGTTTTCGTTATTTATTTGTATAACGTGTACGTGTATATACTGTTTCTAGGGAGTTACTTGCTCTTTTCAGAGCAAGGCCCTGCTCTTTTGAGAGCAGGGGCACTTACTCCTAGAATTAAGAACGTCCCGTTCTTCTCAGAACGGTGATCCCGCCCTTACTGTTTAGGTACATAACGTCTCTGTTCTTTTCAGAACAGCACCCACTAGCCCCTTCCGTATCAAATACGTTTCGTAAAACTACTGCCCTCAACATGTCCACAATTACCCAAATTAAGTCCCTCGTCGCCGCCCTAAACCAAACTCTTGGTCTGGGCCTAAACCTCGATGAGACGGCCCTTGCCGCCATCGCCGCCCATGTTACTCCCCCTGCCCGTCAGGCACTCCAACCGCCGCCCGTACTTGCGGCCTACCTAGAGACAAAGAACTCTTTCGCCCCATTAGAAATGGAGTACGCATGCTCCGAGTCCTCTGCATCGGCCTCCCGGAAGAGGCCCGCCACCAATTCTGGCACCGGCTCATCGGAGTCCTGTGACTCCGACGGAACCGGGGATTCTTCGTTCACCACGGTGAACTCCAAGCGCAACGGTAAACGCGCCGCTAAAAACCGCACCCTCCCTGTCTCAGCGGCCCCTGCCGCTCCTTCAACCTCCGCAGCTCCCGCTGCCGCCTCTGCCCCCGCAGCCCCCGCCGCTGCCTCAGCCCCACTTATGTCACTAGACATTCCCGCTCCGACCAAGCCAGCCTCTCGCTGTGCTCCAGTCCTTGCCAAGAAGCAAGTCCCGCCCCCTGTCTTCCTAAGAGACAAGGCTAAATTCACAGAACTCTCCAAAACCTGCTACAACGCAGGCATAAAATATGACCACGCCATCAACCTCGGGGAGGCTATTAAGATCATCCCCCAATCAATCGACGACTTCCGGCGACTCACCAGGCTATTCACAGCCGAACGAGTTTCTTATCATACATACGCTCTTCCGGAAGAGCGCAAAGTCAGGGCCGTCATCCGCGGCGTCCCCTTCGAATTTTCAAACGAAGAAATCCTTGAGGACCTTAAGTCCCAAGGTTTCCCCGTAGAAGCCGTGCACAAAATGCACAGTAGAACAGGCCAGAGGTTCTCTCTTGCCCTAGTAATTTTAACCAACGTGCCGGAGGCGAAAGCCATCTTCCGGCAGGTACGCACAGTGTGCGGCCTGTCGAGAGTGAGGGTTGAGCCTCCACATAGGCGCGGGTTCCCGGCGCAGTGCCACCGCTGCCAGCTGTATGGTCATGCGGCGGCCAACTGCTCCGCCCCACCCAGGTGCGTTAAGTGCCTTGAACCCCACAACACTAAAGAGTGTCCTCGGCCCAAAGACGCCGAATCCCCACCCGCGTGTGTCCTGTGTAAACAAACGGGCCACCCGGCTAACTACAGAGGCTGCCCTTGCGCACCTCATCCTCGCCCCAGTAGGCAAGCTCCACCGCCGGTCAATGACCGCTCATTCCCGGCTCTTTACCAACGGATGCCCCGTCAGGGCCTTTCTCAGCCCACCCAGGGCTTCTCTCGACCCTCTCAGGGTCCTCCTAGGCCCCCTCAGGGCACTATTCGGCCCCCTCCGGGCTTCTCTCAGCCTATGCAGCCTCCAGTTTTTCCCTGGGGCCCCAAAAAGGCAGTACCACCGCGGACATCCTCCGCCCCTCAACCACAACAATCACAGCCCTCAATGGCTGATGACCTAAAAACGGTGTATTCCGCAATTAGGAACATCAACGTTGAGGAAATCGCTGTGTTAGCACGCAAATTGCGCGCTGCGAGGTCCCCTCAGGACCGTCTCCTCGCTCTTGCAGAGCATCATAATCTTTTGTGCTCATTGTAAGTTAAGTTAACTTAATTAACTTAACTCACAATGACAGAGCAGTTTGCTCTACCAAAATCCCACGGTCGTATCAAACCTAAGGGTTTATCGCTTGTATCCTTTAACATTCGCGGTTTGCGAAATAACCTCCCAGAGCTTAAGCTCTTTCTTCAAAATCGTGAAACCGATTTCCTCCTCCTACAGGAAACTAATCTCAATACTAAGGACACTAAAGGCCTTTCCATCAAAAACTTCTCTCTTCTTCGTAATGATAGACCCGACCGCCGAGGCGGCGGTACGGCCATTTATTACAAGAAGACACTCCACTGTTCTCCCATTTCTACTCCGCAACTTTCCAACATGGAAGCCACGGTATGCAGGCTAGCTATGACTGGACATCAGTCCATCTTCATAGCCTCCTGTTACATCCCTTCTAAAACCCTTCCCCTCAAAAAAGATTTTGAGGCTATTTTATCTCTAGGCAATTCAGTCATTATGTTTGGAGATTTTAACTCCAAGCATACTGAATGGACATGCCGTACTACCACCCGTAGTGGCAAGTTACTGCTCGATATCACGCAGTCTCTTGATATTACCGTCCACAGTCCTCTCGGTGTTACTCACTTTCCCGATAACACCGACTATGCCCCCGATGTACTAGATTTTGCATTACTCAAAGGAGTTTCTCTCAACCTTAGGGCAATCGAGACACTAGACGATCTGGGATCCGACCACCGACCGGTCTCTCTCATTCTTGGCCATCAGCCACCACTCCCAACACCCTCTACTAAAACCTTCACAAATTGGAAGGGCTTCAAGGAGTCCCTAGCGAAAGCTCTGGACTCACAGGACTCCCCCATCTCCCTATCTTCGGACTTAGACAGTCCTGAAAAAATCGACACCGCGGTCGATTCACTCTCCACCCTTATTAAAACCTCCCTTAAGGAGAATGAAAGGGTCGTCCCGGTTGCTAATAATAGTGGGCTTCCCCTGCATATTAGCAACCTATTAAAAGCCAAAAAAGCTGCTTTCCGGAGAGCAGCAAAATATCCCACGCCCGAATATAGGCGCACGGCCAATCGTCTTCAACGAGAACTCCGTTTCCGCCTCTCTGAATTTCGAGACCTCGAAAAGAGTAAGCTCATGGAGAATATCTCTCCCTCTCATACAGCGTACTATCAGATGGCAAGAGCCCTCCGCATAGACGCTATCTTCCACACTCCCCCTCTCTCCCGTCCCGACGGTACGGTAGCCTTCGAGGACGAGGAAAAGGCTGAGTGCTTTGCAGACAGCATTGCCGCTCAATGCTCTCCTAGCTCTCAACCCGTAGACTCCTCACACGTCCAGGCAGTGGAGGATGAGGTCCGCCGCCGGAACTCGCCCCCTACAGCCTCCGAACCTATCTCTGTGTCCAATGATGAGCTTTCATCCCTCATCAAAGGACTTAAGCCTAAAAAGGCTCCGGGCGCGGATGGCATCTCCAACCAAGCCCTAAAAAACTTTCCTGAGCAGGTGCTAACCCTTTTATCTATTATCTTCAATGCCTGCTTCAACCTTAGTTACTTTCCCACTACGTGGAAAGAGGCAACTGTGATTGGTATTCCCAAGCCAGGCAAGCCTCTTAATCTCCCCTCCAGTCATCGTCCCATTAGCCTCCTCAAGGCCATGGGCAAGCTCTTTGAAAGAGTCATTCAAAATCGCATGAGGCGCCATCTGTTTCCCACAGACGGTGACCCTCTTATCATTCCCCATCAATTCGGTTTCCGAGCGAAACACTCCTGCCCCCAACAAGTTCACCGTATTGTGGAATATATCGTCAGCGGTTTTTATCCCCGTCGTCATAAGACTATCGCGGTCTTTTTCGACATCGCCAAAGCCTTCGATATAGTCTGGCATACAGGCCTTATCTACAAACTATACAAAATAGGTCTCCCCGATCGTCTAGTACGTCTCGTGGCCTCTTATCTTAATCATCGTACCTTTCGTTTTAGACACGAAGGCACGCTATCTTCACAGCGCCCCATCAAAGCTGGTGTCCCTCAGGGCTCAGTTCTTGCTCCTCTGCTGTACATACTGTTCACCAACGACATTCCCATTCCGCCGAAAGGTGTTCAGCTCTCCCTCTTCGCAGACGACACTGCTCTCTACTGCAAAGGTATCTCGCTACCTTTCATACGGAACAAGGTCCAAAAGTCAGTTGATGACCTAGGAGCTTGGTTCAAAAAATGGCGCATCGATGTGAACCCGGAGAAGAGCTCCGCCGTTCACTTCGATTATAAACGACGCCGTCTCAAAAACACTCCACCAATACGTATGCTAGGGACCCCTGTCCCCTGGCATACGTCTGCCAAATATTTAGGTGTCACTCTAGACACAGGGCTAACTTTCAGGCCCCACGTCAAAAGAGTAACCCGTCACGCACGTTTTTACCTGAATAGGCTCAACAGTATGTTGGGCCGACACAGTAAAATGTCCCTCAGAAACAAGCGTACCCTTTATAAGGTCTGTATACGACCAGTCATGTCCTACGCGGGCCCCATTTTCGCCCACTCTAACCCTAAAATTATTAATGAACTCCAAGTAGTTCAAAACCTTTTCTGTCGTCGAGCTGCGAACGCACCTTGGTACGTCCGCAATGCCGACCTTCATCGGGACCTAGAGCTCCCTACAATTCAACAATTCCTTAAAAAACTCTCTGAGAACTTCTTCAAAGCCTCAGAGTCGCATTCCAATCATTTTATTCGTGAGGCTGCTAATTATGCAGCCCCACTCCCCTCCCGCTATAGCGTCCGCAGGCCGAGGAACTCCCTCTCGGACCCGCCTAATAAACTTTCAAACGACCTGAACTGCCTCCTGGCGGCTCAGGCCAACTCTAATTAAGTTATTCATAATTAATTTGCCTTCCCAGGCACTCCCTCAGCGGCTTATAGCCGCCTGCGCCCTCTTTTCCCAAAAGAGGGTCGCTTTACGATACGGCATGTGAAGCTTTCAACAGCTGGTTGCCAGTCCCCAAAGGCAGTTTTTAGAGGGTATCACTTAGGTTCCCCCTTGTAGGTAGTGAGTCCCTCATAACCACGATGGACCGGCCATCGTGGTATGCGTAATGCATTTTCTGCCTCCCTTCGGGGTAGCCCATTTCCAATTGCTTCGGGCGCAAAAAAAAAAAAAAAAAAAAGGCCGTGGGCGTTCATTCGGAAGCGGCACTCGAGAAGACAACAAGGAAGAATCAAGACAGAAAACCTGGAAGAAGACTCCATACTGAAGACCTCCCTCTTTGAATAGTGATTTAGTTAATAGTGCCGAACCCTTTGTAAATAGTGAATATAGTATAGTTAAAAGTACCATCTTTTCTTCGAGCAGTCCCCTAGTATAGCTAACCTCACACCGCCAGTTAAAGTATAAATACAGTCCACTACTCTCCATCCACTTTATCTTGGTCCATCGTCGCCGGATAGCAGCCAGAAGAAGGAAGAAAGAAGAAAGAAGTAAGAAGAAACAAGAAAGAAGGCAGTTATAGAAGAAAGAACGTAATTATAGAAGAAAGAACATAATTACAGAAGAGAGAAGATTATTATAGAAGATCTTCAAGGAAGAAAGAAGTTCGTCGACGAAGAGAGAAGATCGTCGGTACTAATTTCTTCCCTGTTTCTTGTTACGCCTACGTCATACACGTCTATTGTCTGTTTCCAGACAATTTCTTGTTTCTTAACCGCGTTTACGCGGCCAGTGGTCACTCCCTAACGGTGCCAAACTGTGACCATCTGGTAACGCCCTTGTGGCGGGAACGACATCCATACGTGTGTCTTTTTAAAGACTGTACGTACGTCTTTTTGAAGACGACCGGAGGTCGCAACGTGGGACCATGAGGAAGACACGAAGCCAGAAGACACGGAACGATGATGACACGCCGGTAGAAATGCGCATATTCGAAGAAGCACCCGCGTCCCCGTCCGATTATCTCACGATGGCACAAGCGCCCTCCGCCGCGCCCGCGCTCCAGGCCCCGCCCGCGCCCGCATCTACGCCCGCGCCCGCGCCCCCGCCGCCGCGCCCCGCTATGTCCGTGTCCACGACCGATCGTTTGGGAGAGGTTAGCATTTCCGCGCCGCGTACAGAGACACTCGCCGCGATTATAGAAGATCTTCCGTCTACAGAGATTAGTTCGATAGTACGTACCGTCGCGCCTGTAACAGACGTACATAGGCCCGCGCCCCGCGCCCCGTCGGTTCGCTCCGTTCGTTCAGCCCGGTCGACGGCTAGTGCGATAGCTAAATTAAAGCAAATTGAATATAACGCCGCGGAGGAACTAGCTGCAATTAGGAGGAAGCAATTGCAGTTGGAAGAAGATCTTATTAGGAAGAAGTACGCTAGGGACGTCGCGCAACTGCAAGAAGAAACAGATAGGGAAAGTGTCAACGAAGACGAGTTAGTTGAAAATAGGGTACGCGTTGATAGGTGGTTAGAGAACGTAGAGACTGTGCGGGGGGAGTCGCCTTCCCGCCCCTCTCAGCCCGCGCCCCGCATCGAGTTAGAGCAGACCCTACCGAACAGGGTAACCGGTTACGACCACAGTGAAGATGCCCAGGGGAGGACGGAAGCGAATAACGTTCAACCGCGCCGCATAGATTCGGTACAGAGGGAAGACGGAGTCGCCGTAGGAATAAACCAGGTGGATCGTCGTGTACGGGTTACGTCGCCGTCGCGCGTCCAACGCCGCACTCTATCGCCTACACATAGATCGCCACATCGCCACGCGGATCGTAGATCACCGTCGCCGCATAGGGATGTAGGTGTACGTAGATCGCCATCGCCACATCGCCGCACGGATCGTAGATTATCGTCGCCGTATAGGGATGTAGGTGCGCATAGGACGCCAGCGCCACAGCGTAGGCTAGAGAGAGATAGGGATAGAGATAGGTCGCTTACTCCGCGAGGAAAGGATAGGGGTATAGAGCGACTAGCGGAAGCTCTGGAGAATATGGTCAGAGTTAGGCCCGCTGCCGCGAAGCAGACGCAGGACTTGCCTATTTTTAACGGTTCGGCCGCGGAATGGTTAGCGTTCAAAGCCGCGATGAAAGAATCCACGCGTCTATATGGATTCACAGATACGGAAAATATGGCAAGGTTAAGAAATTGCTTACGCGGTGAAGCTAGGGAAGTAGTATCGGCACTGCTGTTTACCGCGAAGGATCCAGCAGATATTATGCGAACATTAGAGCAGTGTTTCGGCCGCCCAGAAGTAATTATCGATCGCGCGTTAGAAGAATTGAAACGCCTTCCGCGCCCGGGTCAAACCGCACAGGAATTAAATGCGTTCGCAATAAAGTTGCAAAATATCGTGTGCATTGTGCAAAACGTCGACGGCAAGGGATATCTGCAAAATCCAATGCTTACTAGGGAGGTAACGAGTAAGTTAAGCCCTCACTTACGGTCGCGTTGGTGTGATTATGCGGAGCACTACGGGAGTGCAGACGAGCCGGACATCGTTACACTGTCCAGTTTCATGATGAGAGAGGCTGATCGTGCGTTGAGTCATGCCTATACGTCCGTAGAGCCGACTAAGGAATCGCCCGTAAGACGAGAGGCGCCGCCGTCGAAAAGGATAGTGACACGCCGCGTAGAGAATAGGGCTCGCGACGTAAAAACGTTCACCGCATAGGAGGACACCGGTAGTGCCTCTTGTATGTGCTGCGGAGGTGAACACGCGATCGCCAAGTGTAGGAAGTTAGCGCAAATGGGTGTGGACGACCGGTGGAATTGGGTAAAAGAAGACGGGGTATGTTTTCTATGTTTAAATAGTAAACACCGACGGTTTAAATGTAAAGCAAAGAAATGCGGCATCGACGGCTGCAACGCCCCCCACCACGCCCTCCTTCACACCCGCAAGACCCGCGCACCTGAGACATCGGCCAAACCAGATGAGACCGTACTCGTCGCGTCTAACGTCGGTAGGAATGCATCCGTATTGTTGAAAGTGTGTCCCATTACGTTACGTGGACCACACGGTAAGGAAATAGACACGTACGCGTTGCTCGACGAAGGTTCGACTATTTCGTTGATCGATGACGACTTAGCGCGTGAGTTAGGAGCGGAAGGACCGGTAAAGCCGCTGAATATTAGGGGAATAAGCAATAGTCAGCGCGAGGCCGATAGCAGGCTAGTTAACATAGGCATACGTGGAAAATCGCGCAGCGAGATGTATAGAATAAATGCGCGTACAGTAACAAATTTACAGATAGGTTCGCAGTCGGTAAATAAAGAGTGTTTACGTCTAAAGCATTTACGCGACCTACCGAGCTCGGTTTGCTATGAGGACGCCAAACCGAGATTATTATTAGGAGCCGACAATTGGCATTTAATAATCACCCGTAATTTGAGGATAGGGCGTCGAAGGCAGCCTATAGCTGCACGTACGTTATTAGGATGGGTGATACAGGGAACCGTGCCGCGATTCACGTGTAGGGAGGACGGTGAAACCGTGTTACACGTCGTAAGCAGTAGCGGACGGATAGATAGGGACATCCGAACGTTCGCGAGTCAAGACGAGGAGATAACGGAACTCCTCAAACGGCAGTACGAGATCGATTCCATCGGTATCTCGCTAAGGAATATGCCGCGACGGGAAGAAGAGCGCGCTGTCGAGATATTCCAGCGCACCGTCAAGAAGGTCGGCGATCAATACCAGGTGGGACTGCCATGGAAGGACGACGACGTGCGGATGCCTCCTAGCTACGAGATGGCTGCTAGAAGACTGCGGACGATCGAGAGGAAGATGGACAAATCGCCGGAATTTCGAGACGCCTATACCGCACAAATAGATAACCTCCTGGCGAAAGAATACGCAAGGGAAGCCGAGGGGACGGAGAAAGAGGACCCTAGGAGCTGGTACCTGCCCCACTTCGCAGTACGAAACCCGAACAAGCCTGGGAAGACGAGAGTGGTTTTCGACGCGGCAGCGCGTGCGTCCGGTAAATGTTTGAACGATTATTTGCTTGACGGCCCCGACTTGTTACGGAATCTACCGGGCATACTGTTCAGATTTAGGGAGAACGAAATAGCCGTGTCAGCGGATATTAGGGAAATGTTCTTACGCGTTAAGATTGACCGTCGCGACCAACCCGCGCAATTATTTCTGTGGCGAGGTAACGAGCGATCCAGCCCACCGCGGGAATACGTTATGACTTCAATGATTTTCGGTGCGAGGAGCTCGCCGTTTCTCGCACATAGCGTTAGGGATCATAACGCGCGCGCACACGCTGAGACACATCCGTTGGCACTTAACGCTATCGTACGTAGTCACTACATGGATGACTACCTAGACAGTTATGCTACGGTAGAGGAAGCGGTAAACACTGCGAGGCAGGTTACGGAAGTCCACCAGCAGGCCGGATTCACCTTAGCGGGCTGGAATTCGAACCACGCAGCCCTACTAGAAGACAAGCCGGAGGAATTATTAGCGAGCAAGCCTAAGGAGGTAGGCTTGAGACAAGACAGCCCAGGCAGAACCCTAGGGCTATTATGGATGGCCAATGAAGACGCCTTAACGTTTAACACATCCATGAACCGGGTACCGAACGAGGTGAAGACGCTGCAGAGGCCACCGACCAAGAGAGAGGCGTTGAGTGCAGTCATGTCGGTCTTCGACCCGCTTGGACTGCTGAGCTACCTCACCATCACCGCCAAGATCCTGCTGCAAGACCTGTGGCGGATGAAGAAGGTCGGATGGGACGACGAACTACCCGAGGAGGCAGCTGAGGAATTCCAGAGGTGGCTGCGAGTCGTCGAGGAAGTATCACGACTGCGGCTGCCTAGGTGCTATGCTCCTACGGGGGGAGTGGTAGAGCGTCAGCTCCACGTGTTCAGCGACGCAAGCGAACGTGCGTACGCATCCGCGGCGTATTGGCGATTACGATACCGCGACGGAACGGTTAAGGTACGATTAGTGGCGGCCAAGGCGAAAGTCGCCCCGATAAAGGCGCAAAGCATACCACGGTTAGAATTACAGGCGAATCTGATAGGCGCGCGACTCGCGGAATTCGTGCAAGGCGAGCACAGAGTGGTAGCCGATAGGGTAGTTTATTGGACAGACTCCACTACGGCGCTCCATTGGATTCAAAACGATACGGCGCGCTACACCCCATACGTAGCACATAGATTAGGGGAGATATCGGAGAAGACGTCACCCGAGCAATGGAGGTGAAAAATCAGGTATTTATATATTTTTTATTATTTATCTGCAATATCTTTATAACCATGGACTCTATGAAAATTTGTATTATTTTTTTAAATGAGTTCCAATATAGAAAAAATTTGTCTCAAACGATATGCTATTCAAATAATGCCGTGTACGAACCTGGCAATAACGAACGGGCAATACATTAATGGTTCAAACACTTTCGCTCAGAAAGTTTTGACCGCACACATGAACCTCGTGGGCGCTCGGAGAAGTTGTGGCGAAGTGGTAGAAGAACTGCAGGCAGTAGCGGAAGCGGATCCTTCTCAAACTACGGCTGAGCTGGTGTCAGCTGTTAATGTAAGTTACTGTTACAGCCTATTAAAGTCTTCTACTGAACATAGGTCTCCCCTTAGATTGCTTCATAGGAGGGATATTTGGCATAGTTGCCACGCTTATCAAGCCGGTTGGCAATCGCAGTTTTTTTTTATTTTTGGTCGTTATTATAGGAAGACGCTGCTGCCCATCTTATGATTTGTTTCCCTATATCTTACGAAACCCACGGTATGATATGGGGTAGTGGATATTCTTACACCACCAGTACACGGTAATGTAAGGTCAATGTGTCTAAACAATGTTAGATCACATGCGGCAAATCGGTACAATAAAGACGCTTGAACAATAAATACTTCACAAACTGAGTGACGCACAGTTGACGACAGAAAAGTTCCTCATCCAACATATGTATTCTCCAGAACTTGCCTCAACAGACTTCCACTTTTTTCAAACTTTAGTTAACTTTAAGTACTTACACTTTGTACTTTATAAGCAGTGAAGAACGCCTTTAGAGAGTTCATAGTTTCTCGTGCAGCTGACTTCTATATCGAGAGCATAAACAAACTATCCATAGAATTATATGTTAATAGTTTAAGCAAATAATTTGATTCATTTTATGTGAAATTTTATACCTTTGTGAAGAGAAAATAAAAATGATATTATTAATATTATGTCGGGGTATTCACAGAGTACTCTCATCTGATTGGGCTGAATAAATATATAAAAGAAATTGATAAACATACTGTGCACGACGCAACAATATTAAACAAACGAAAGAAAATGCTTATTGTAACCGGCGCTAGTTGAACAACCTAGGAGCGGTGGGCGGAGCCATGACGACGGTGTAATTATCAGGCCACGCCTCTGGTTCGACAACTAGCAAGGGTTATACGGCGGAACTAGCGCAACCTTATGTTGAATTTAAATTATAATTTGTGTAAATAATTGTATTACTTGTATCGAACGATAAAAAATAATGATTGTATTATAACTAAGTTTAAGGTTGAGTTGTAACTGTGCAATAACTCTCCCAAATAAAGGCACCGTATGAACAGGGAGAGTTAGCATAGTCTTCTAATGAAAACTGTAATTGTTAAATATAATAAATGTTTACTTTATTATATAATAAATATATTAGGCCGTTAGGCACATAAAATAATAGTAGTAGTGTAACCAAAGAGCATGTTATCGTGACGCGGCCGCGGAGCAAATGAAGCCACGCGCACCGCGCCACGACGTTTTATATTTATAGTGCTGAGGCGGGGGGAAGGATTCTCCGCCTAAAGCAGCTGAAAATTATAATGTAAACCTGTAAATAAGTAAAAATATTGATATGTACACCCTAGTCTAACAAGTAGTTATAAGAATATTATATAGTGAATTATGTTTATTAGTTTGTAAGGTTATTAAATAAATAAAGATAGGCGCGGGGGTGAGGCAAGGGTCCGCTGGCCAGCAGCGGCCAAATCATATAAAAGACGGGCCGGCCGCTAGGGTCAGCAGTCGCTCTCCAGCCACCGAAAAGGCACCAGCAAGAAAAGAAAAAGTACAAGTTCCTCCTCACCGCCGCTTGCCTCCAGTTAAAAGCAAGACCAGCGCGTTTTATTCCATTTTTCGCACGGCATTACGGCGATCCGTAATATTAATGGTCCTTCGAGAAGCCGGATTACTAGAAGAAAAAGACAATATCGGTCTTGGTATTGCCGGAAGAAAGAAGCAAACCGCAAGAACGAAAAAATATTATTGTGAAGAAGAATGGTGATTACGCGTAGTAACAACGGAGAATCATCGAAGCGTCGCAAGGATGAACAAACAACCCAGGGGGCCACAGAAGAGGCCTCCGGGGGCGACTCAGCCGCTAGTGGTTCAACAAACACCACTAGCGAAACCACAACGGTCAGCGATACGACCGCTACCTCGGCAACCGATAGAACAACCGCAACGGAAGAAACCCAGCAAGAGGGTGATCAAAGATCGCAGTGCACATTGAAGCCCGGCGAGACTAGGTCACGCCGCTCCGTAGCCTCACGCAAGAGACTCCTCGCGGAGTTAGAGGCGAAAGAGCGGTTAGCCGAACTCAAGCTCGAGCAGGCTCAGTTGCAAGCAAGAACAGAATTGCAAGAAATACACGTGCAGCGACTACAAGCAGA